GGGCTGTCCCTCAGCATCACCCGCGCTTCCTACGGGTGACTGAGGCTCCGTTTGTGCTAGGGCACAGGTTGGCATCTTAAAGAGAAAGCTTCCACGCTCGGTATGGGGCGGCGTCTCTTCGCAAATAACTCCCGCTCTTATTTTTTGCCTTGTTTCTAGGTTATTGATGCAACTTCATTAGGTTGGGGCACCAGAGTGAAAGGCTTCGTTGCTTGTTTTGCAATAGGATGCCTGTGCTCGCTCTTGGTAAGGACTTTTTGCCAGATCTCTCGGATGTTTGAGTTTTGGGAGCCCCCATAATTATAGCCTTGGTATACACTGTTGCTTGATTATTTTTTTTTATTTTTTTTTTTTTTCAAGTCTCTGGGAAGACATCTGACTCAGTGCATTGCATCCAACTGGAACAAACTGTTAACAAGAATGCCAATAAACCCAATTTACTTTTGCATGTGATTCTGCAGTTTGGATTTAAGTTTTCCTAAAACTTTGTGTTGTGACATTTCTTGGATGCTTCTTTTGCAATTTAAAAACAATATTAACTTTTTCCTCTCTCTCTCTCTCTCTCTCTCTCTCTCTCTCTCTGTTCCTTTTTAGGGTAGTTGTCTGCTATGGGTACCAAAGAAAGGGCTGATGCTTTTTGCAGTGTTTTATACGTTGGGGAATATTGCATCTATTGGGAGGTAACAATCCTTATCTGTTAGTTCCCTAATAAAGATGAGAAACTAAAGCAGAATGATAGGTGAAGGTGCATAAGCAGTAGAAACTGTTGCATTTGTGTAAGAAGATTTGCTTATATAGATCACTCTTGTTGCTGAATTTTAGAGAACAGCATGTCCACAGTAGCGCCCTGAAATGGTACAGAATTTTTTTTATTTCATTTATCATTATTAGCAATGCATTCAAGGTAAAAGTTACTCATTAGTAAAGAAGAATCAAACTCATACTTTGAGCATTGCTTTTTTTTTTTTTTTAAATTTTGTTGGTTTTTTGCCCCCTCAAGATAAAAATAATTCTTTGCCTTTTTGCAATTGGTAATGTTCTGTGTGTTTCGTTGAATATATTTGGGGCAGTCTCTCTTGTCAGGGTGGGCCTGTTTGATAAGCCTCCTGCACAGCCCCACTGACTTTGTGAAAGACACAATCTTCTGTGACTGAGGAAACTTAACAAGATGTTAGAAAGCACAGTATAGCATAGTATAATAATGAGGCAGAATAATATAGTATAAGAGGCAGAAATATCACCCTAGATAAAACTCTTGCCTTATATAATTCAAGCAGTATCAATCACCAGGGCTCTAAATGAGGGCTGCAGATCTGGTAAGGGATCAGAGAATGGATCTAGGCCTGAAAACAGCCCTTTATGTAGAGGAATTGAGCTGGATTACCTGGCAATCCATGCAGAGCCTCTGCAGCTGCTGTTTTTGAAGAGCAGGTTAAAAAAGCATCTGACAAGAATGATCTAATTGAAGCTGACCTTGACCTATGCTTCTAGCTTGATAGTTCTGCTCTGCTTATGTTAATTGTAACCGAACAAGCATGAATAAAATTATAGAATAAATAC